GGCAGTCACCCTCCAGTCGGATATAACGGTTACACCCTTTGCATCAAGAGGTGTTACTGTTTACCAGGTCGCGTGTCAGGTATCCCTTGCCTGTGAAGACTTTCAACGAGCGGACAAATTTCTCCTCTGCACTGGGATGCAACCCAAATTTGATGTTGCCCAGATTGGGGTCTATCGGGTCATTGACAACATCATAATCTTTTGTAATTTTCCCCATTACCATTTCTATTCCGGATCTGATATACATTGAAGCGTCTATCGGAAATCTCATGGCCATTACCCAGTACACTTTCTTTTTCTCCTCTTCCCTGTGTGCCAGCCAGTCTGCTTTGGGCATCCACGGACGAAAGAGAATCCGAAACATTTTCCCTCGTTCCACGAACCTCTCCATTCCTTTTTGCAACATCCACTCCGAAATCAGAGAAAGTTTAGGAATGTAGATTAATTGTATTTTGCTTTCGAAGTGAGTGAGGCCCCTATGTGTTAGGATTTTGTCTTCTGGTAGCAGCGCGTCTTCAATGGAGCGGAGGAGGTCTATCGTCTTGTCGTTGGGGAGGTTTTTTGCCTCTCCTTGAAAGAGGATAGCCACCGCGTGTTGTTTTAGGAACTCCTCTTCTACCCTATGGATTGATTCCTTCGGGCGGATCTCAATGCAGTTGTCCTCCTCATTAACCCTGGCATCAATGTATTCCAATACGTCTGGTGTGGATTGGTTAAGATACCAACCCCCTACCATTTCGGCCAGCCTTGAAAGCTCTTCCTCCGGTATCGGCTGGTCCGATCCGGAGTCCTAGATGTCTGAGGATTCGGCATTGAGGTCTGAAACATCTTCCCTCTGTGTGTGCATCTCGACAAGGAACTGACTGAGAAGGACACAATAAGGTAAGCTATAAGGAGGAAGACTTAGTTCGACCTTGAGATTGGTGGAGGCATAGTCGTCGACAGACTGGGTGAGGTGTGACCCTTATGCCTGCAGTTTTAATGTGGGACACACTACGGGTCAGAAGGGGGGACCTAAGCATGTGGGTAGGGAGGGAAGGGAGTGCATGACGAGTGTGAGGAATGGCATGAGAAGGGCTGAGAGAGTGCCTCGGAATGAGGGTATGGTAGTGGCGATGACGTGTTGGGAGTGAGGGGAGGTCACTGGACGGGGTGGTGGGAGGGTGTGTTGTGAGATACGAAGTTTGTCGTGGAAGCGGGGGTGATACCTTCGTGCGTTTAGGCCGAAGGTGCGTACCAAGCCTTTTGGCCGGAGAGCGGTAACTGCTCGCGGCTACGCAAAATTGGGTTAGAGCGTCGGGGGTAGCGCGTGGGTGAGGGTCGAGCGGATGTGAGGTGGTGGGAGTGGAGGGCAGGAATAGTGAATATGTCAGGTGAGAAGTGGGATTGGGATGATCGAGAAGGTGGGATATAGGTACGTGGGGACTGAAGACTGAGGGGAGGAAACTAGACGTGGAAACGGGGATTGTACCTCCGGATATTAAAGCGGGAGTGGATTTAGGGCGGAAACTGGGGTAGAGCGTCGGTGGTGACGCGTAGGCGGAAAGGTCCAGAGAGTGGGATTGGGCTGTCGGGCTGATTGTATAGTGGTGGAAGACGGGAGCAGAGACAGCGTGTATGTCAGGTGGGAAGAGAAATTGGGTTGATCGAGGAGGTAGAATATAGTTAAGAAGAACCGAGGACTGATGGGCGTTGGGCGAAGGGAGCGGGTAGATGAATTAGAGGGGAAGGATTTAGATATAAAGACAGGGATTGTCCATCCGGTTGCTGAAACGGGAGAGGATTCGGGGCGGAGGAGGTGCGGTCCGGGAAGGGGAGCATTATTTGGTCATGGGGGTGGGATAGAGTTTTGGGTTGCAGTATTATCGAGTTAGTATAGGTAGAAGTACGATAGAGGGGGAGTAGGGAGGTGTATGGGGACGGGATTGCTGGGCGAATGAGCAGTAACTGGCGAGTGGTAGAGGAAGTAAAGATTCTTGATTTAGCGTGGGTCGCGCCTGTAGGAACAGTGAATGGATTATATGAGATTGCGTGGAAGTAGGAATAATTTTGCTTCGTCCCTCCAAGTAGCAGAGGTTCAGGGAAAAGGAAAAGGAACTAGGTGGCCGCGGTGTATATTAAGAAAGGGATTAATACTATTTGGAGAAAAAAGTCGGGGCGGGAAAGGTCCCGACTTCCCTTCCCCGTAGATACTTTACGTATCCGGGGAAGTAGATTATCGGAGAAGTACTAATTCGAGAAAAGGCCCGAGCCTTCAAGAGGTACCGATTGTAGAGATGTGAGGACGACTCGAGGGCGGGCACGGTCCTGGAGGGAAAGAAGGCGAGGTTAGTGAGATCGGTACTTACCATCAGTTCGTGGAGGGAGCAACACCGCAACTGGAGCCAGAAGAAGAGTATCAGTGTGACCAAGTCTGAGAACTGCTGTAGCGGAACGCCGTGCACACAAACGAGCATAACTTGGCGATAAAACTGGCACGCGAGGCATATGTCAGGGTACCGGCCACCACACAGGTCTTCTCTGCGAGGCGGATAGGGAGCTCGCCCCGACCAAAGAGAAGAAAGCCTGTTGCCCTTTACCTCACCCGACGAGGAGAAGGGAGGTTGGCTATGGTGAATTAGGTTTACCGTGGTAAACAGAGCAGCACAGCGACGCAGACGCAGCGCAAGATTTGCGGCCTCGCTGAGGCGCGCTCCGGTACCCCCCTATGGGACGCAGCCACCGCAGACTGGGTGCCAGAAGACCAGTTGAAGAAAAGATTAAGGGGCCTGCACAACGTTGGAACACACCGGACATTGTTAATTGCAGCTTCCAGACAGTTGGAAGAACAAGCTTCACGCCTCCGCACAGGGCGAGAGAGGCACCTGGTGAAGATCTCCAGATGATCCCATTCGCTACTACCAAGTCTTGAACCCCAACAGCAGTGGTTTGACAAAGGTTTCAGTATGGAATTTCCGCAACAACGCTCTGCAGAGTCTGCACAAGGACGGCTCACACACAGATCATATCTACCTTCCAGATCACCAAGAAGTAAGAATCAAGCAGCAAACCAACAAGCATGGAAGACTGATTACCAAACCACTCAAGGGCGGCACCCCACTCCGCTATTGGAAGATGGACGAGATTAAGGTGGGATGGAAGATCACGGCAGAGACCTCCTCTATCTTAGCGGTCTCCCTGGCGGACTACTCTTCTCGTTTGGGATACAAGCTCCACTCCAAGGCCTCTTCGCTAAAGTTCAATGTTTGGTACTCCTGGAGTAAACAGTCTTTGAAGTATCAGCTTCCAAGTCCGACCCTGAACTGGGTTCATTTTTTTATCACACTGATCTTGGGCACCTTGGAATCGAAGGTAGCAGGCCTTCAATGGCTACATATGCATAACTGTGTGCCCACTGCGTCCTGGTACGTCGTTAGAGGAATGGACATTCCCGCCTTGTGTGATGTATGTCCACACAGTTCACTGGAAGACTCCTCCCACCTATGGTGGGAGTGCGTGGTGGCTCGGGGCTTCTGGGACTGGGTGGGCAGAATGTGGTGGCCCGCTTATAAGGACCAGCAGTTCTGGAATAAACAGATGGTTTTCTTCGGCACACAGGGCAACACCCCAAGAGACCAGATCGCTAACAAGTTTAGAGCTATGGGTTTTTGGACTCTTTGGATGGCCAGAAGGGACCGCAGATTCAAGGACACCTCCTGGCCAGTCTCTCGGATCAGGAATAGCTTTAAGCAGTCTGTCAGAAATTTGATACTGGCAGAATATAGAAAGAAGAGATCAAACAACTTCCTCCTTGAACAGGCTCAGTCTTTGTTGCAGAAGTCATGGGCCACAGAGTTCAAGTGGGTCTCATTTTCAGATAACAAAAGGTTAATCTTTTCTCGCTTTCTGTGGGATGAAAAGGAGGACTTAGGGGCTCGTTCCACACTCCTCGGGCGCGTAAATCCCCCGAGGAAATGATCGTTTCACTTATCCTTGGGGAAGAAATTGGAAAAAAAATGTGAAAACATTTCCTCGGGGATTCCTCGGGGATTCCTCGGGCTACAGCCATTTCGACGCGTTCCCCAAGGGACCTCCCGAGGTCCCTCGGAGGTCGAGCATCCGGAAGAATCGGGGCGTCGTCGGCAGCTCTCTCGACGACATTTTTCGACGGCCGTCAGTACCACTGCTGTTCCTGGCACCCGTGGACGGACATCTTTGATCGGCAACGGTTGGCATCATGGAATAGTCCGCCAACGGTCCCCTTTGGCGGCCTGCTGGCGTCCACGACGTCGAAAAGGGGCTGTCTTGCGTCGCTGCCCTTGGCCCCGAGCGGGAAGGCGCCCAACGGTCGGCAGATTCAAATATTTCAACCGTCCCCAGCCCGGGCGATTGCGCACTGTCTTCACAGACGGAATACGTTACCCTGCTTTTGTCGTTTGCTGCGTTCAGGCGTTTGCAGCACTGTCCCTCGCCGTTATGTGATAGATCCCCCGTTGTCTTCTAGCTGCTACCGTTGTCCACGTGCCTTTCATGGCCGACGTCTTTCGGAGGCTGCCGCTGCTGGTGCTGGTCGTCCTATTGCTCCTCCTCCTGGTTGTCTTCCACGTGTGCATCCTCGGCAGCGTTCCGCGACGTGGCCGCAGAAGGAGGTCTTTGAAGAACGACGCCAGGATGGAGGGTCAGCCGCGGTGACAGGCAATCAGCGGGTCGGCAGGGGAGCAGGGTGGGCGGTGGTCTGGGCACAGCCCGTCGAATAGTTCAAGGTCGTCGAAGCGGTCTGGGTACGAGCACCTGCCACCGCACTTGCAACCTCGGCCAGACACGTCCGACGAGGAGGCGGATGATAGACGTTCACGGACCGTGCCACTGGGAAGCGGATCCACCCAGGAGTGGGCGGCTACAGAGCTGTTTGGAAGCCGCGAGGGGGGCAATGGGCAGTCCTACACCGAACTCCTCCAGCAGGGGCTCAGCGACCACGATGGCAATGGCGGCGTGAATCTGTCGTTTGGACTTGGTAGCGGGAGGCCGTCTCTCGAACGATCATCGTAAACCCCCATCCCGACGACGATGGCGGCGACATGATGGTTGTTCTGCGAACATCCAGGTCTCCACCGCCGCTGCGGGAGGCTTCGAGGAACAACAGGGATCCTCCGAGTCAGCAATTTCGGTCACCGTTTGTGTCTACAGGTGCCTCCGCTCGCCCCCAATGGATGCACTCTCTGTCTCCCCTGTCCGCCGGTTCGAGTGCAGGCCGCTGTCTTGGCGAGTGCGGGGAGACGGCGCGTGGCATCGCTGATGTTGGTGACGCACGTGACGGGAGGGAGGTGTGGGCAGAACAGCGACGGTTGATGCGGTCGGGGCGGGAGGAGTCCATAACTCGGGGGGTGCAACGATTGCGTGTTGGGGAACACAAACACGACGGCGAGGAAGCAGTGGCGGACGCGCACAACCCCGACTGGAACGACAACGGCGCTGAAGGTGGGGAGGACAACGCAGGCTACGTTTCGCCGTCGAAGCAGGCGGCCGTGATGGGAGGGAGGGGCGGGAAGACGAAGTCGTGTGCCGACAACGGTCGTCGGGGCAAAAAGGCGGCAGGCAAGGGTAGCGATGCCGAAGGTGACGTCGATGGGGAAGGAGGTCGTCAGTTCTGGTCCGTCAACAACATTATAGCCCTCATCCGAGCTAAACGTGATCAGGATGCGCATCTGCAGGGGATGGGTCACGCATACGCTCGGATGAAGCCGCGAGAATGGAAGTGGCTGGATGTGGCGACGAGGTTGAAGAAGGTGGGCGTCGACAGAGAGGCAGATCGGTGCGGGAAGAAGTGGGATAATCTGATGCAGCAGTTCAAGAAGGTGCATTACTTCCAAGGACTGTCCGGGAAACCAGACTTCTTCCAATTGTCTGGGAAGGACAAGATGTCGAAGGGCTTCAATTTCAATATGGATCGTGCGGTTTACGATGAGATATTGGGGTCGACCGCCAAGAACCACACCATAAACCCGAAGAACGTCGCCGACACGTGTGCTCAGGGTGGTGTGCGTCTGCCGTCCGCCTCTTCTGCGGATCCCGAATCTGTGGGCGATGGGGACGGTGGTGCAGAGCACGACGACGACGACGACGGGCCCATGAAAGGTTCTTCGCAGACGACGGGTGGCGCAAGCGGTTTCGGCAAGAGGAAGAGCACGAGGCAGCAAACTTTTGAGGCAATGACTGAATGCATGGAGAAGCACGGGGCACTAATGGCGTCGACGATGGAGAGCAACAGCAAGCGTCACTGCTCCATCGCCATATGGAAGTGTGAGGCGCTCGAAGAGGAGGTCAAAGTGCAGAAAAAGCACTACGCAGCGTCAGACGAAGTCAGCAAGCTTATGTGCCACACCTTGCTGGAGATAGCGAAGGACATCGCCAAGCGTTAGACTTCGTGCCGCCTCTGTTGTGCTCTCAGTTCGCTTCCATGGATGTGGACGGCGCGAAAGTGAGAGTTTTTCCGTCGTCGATGTGTCGTTCCCCCATTGGCGGTGCTGGCCAGGGAATTGGGTTGTGGTCCTATTCAGTGGATGACTCCTCCAGTAACTTTTTTTTTTTTTTTTTTTTGCATTGTTCGTTTGGTTTGTTGTAGGCCTCGGCCGTGTGACG